TTGAACCTGGGACCCTTGAGTCCACAGGCCGATGCTCTATCCACTGAGCCAAACTGGTTAGGGCAATTAATTCCCTTTTAATGTGCATGAATTTCGTGCACCGGGCTACTAGTATAGGATAAAAGCAGAACGACAGGTTGCTATGATGCACACTTAACACCAGGGGGCAGATGCTCAATGCAGGAGCTGCCCCCTGGTGGTCAGTGTGCTCCCACAGAGGGAGCGCTGCTCAGCCAGAAGCCCTGAGTCTGGCTCAGGGGTGGTGGCGGGAGCTTCTCCCACCTCTGCAGCAGTGCTAAGATGTCCAACTGACGGCTCCAAAAAGCAGAACGACAGGTTGCTATGATGCACACTTAACACCAGGGGGCAGATGCTCAATGCAGGAGCTGCCCCCTGGTGGTCAGTGTGCTCCCACAGAGGGAGCGCTGCTCAGCCAGAAGCCCTGAGTCTGGCTCAGGGGTGGTGGCGGGAGCTTCTCCCACCTCTGCAGCAGTGCTAAGATGTCCAACTGACGGCTCCAAGACTGCAAGAGGGCGCAGGCCAGGCTGAGGGCACCCCGCCCCTCCTCCTGCCACCGAATTTCGTGCATGAGGCCTCTAGTCTTAAAATACAGCTCTTGGCTAACATGACTTTTCCAGCCATATAAGACATTCCACACTTAGCCCTGGGGTAGAAATAGGCTTAAACTTTTCTTTTTTGGGGTGGAACCTGCCAGGAGAGATCCAATCAATATTGAACAGGAGGAAGCAGGGGGGATGGGGCTAACAAATTTCTTCTTCAGCATCACAGTACTGAATGGATAAGGAGGCAACTCCCAGGCTTACAGGATAAGTCTGGACTGAGCTACACTGTGAGCAGCTAAAGCCTGGTCTCCAAAAACTAGTTGTCACATCTTAACTTAGACTTTGACAACAAGGGATGAGTATAGTATGAGTAGCTAGGAGTCTGGGAGTTGACCTGGGCTATGCTACACCAAGATTCTAAGCAAAGCCTCCAACAGGAGCAGCTCCACGTTCCATTCCCAGTCTTAACTCCAGGGTCTTCATGCTACCTTCTAGCAGTCCAGTGTCCCACTGGGGTAGGAATAGCCGCAAGAATTAACTTTTCCAGGGGTAACTGCATTTAAATGAGTAATTTGTTAAAGCAACTAAATTTGATATGAATTAGGTTGGGGTAGGATGTGAAATAGGTTTGTAGAGGTCCCACTCCTACCTCAACTAGTCTTCTAGGTCAGGGAACAGAATCTCCATAAAATCCTCTCTCCTTTTTCCATTTACGCAGATGCTCAGGGGGGTAGAAAGCTCACCTATGTATGATCCAAAATTTGAGTTAAGTGTTAGAAATATTAAAAATATATAGCAAGCCATGGCTGGTATGGCTCAGTGGTTGAGTGTTGACCAATGAACCAGGAGGTCACAGTTTAATTCCTGGTCAGGGCATGTGCCTGGGTTGAGGGCTTGATCCCCAGTGGGGGGCGTGCAGGAGGCAGCTAATAGATGATTCTCTCTCATCACTGATGTTTCTAACTCTCTCTCCCTCTCCCTTCCTCTCTGAAATCAATAAAAAATATATAGCACTATATAAATGTATCAAATCAATGTTATATACTTTAAACTTATACAGTGTTATATATATACTAGAGGCCCGGTGCACAAAAATTTGTGCACTCGGGGCGAGGGGTCCCTCAGCCAGGCCTGTGCCCTCTCGCAGTCTGGGACCCCTCAGGGGATGACCACTTGCTGGCTTAGGCCTGCTCCCTGGGGGATTGGGCCTAAGATGGCAATCAGACATCCCTCTGGAAGCCCGGCAGCCCTTGGGGAATGCCCACTTGCCAGCGGGGAGCAGACCTTAGCACTGCTGAGGAGGCAGGAGGGGCTCCCACCACCACTGCTGTACTGGCAGCCATCAGCCTGGCTTGTGGCTGAGCAGAG